TTCGGGATTATTATACGATGCATATGTCTATACGCGGCAAATGGTTATCTCAAGAGTCCATATGTTTTCAGGATAGGCAGCACATGATATTCCCTGTCGAGGAAGTGGTCATCAAGAGTCTGAACGTGACTTTCGGTTATATGACTCGACGTGTGTTTGATTTTGAGCGGAATATTCTGTCAATGAGTTAACTATTAGAATATTCTGTTGTCATATGTTATACACTGTATGTGTATTTTTCACAACTCAAATTGTACCTGTATCAATAGTTTTCTTAAACTATTCAGCGTAATTATGCAAATTGTATCAATGTGAATTTTTAGTTATGTATTCATATTATCTGGTACTAGAGGTCTTAATCTCATCATCTAAACTATAGTTTAACAAAATCTATTTTTAAAAAATTTATTCCTTAATATTAAAAAAGAGTTTGTTTTAAATTCAATATTTATAACTCATAACAAAATGTATAATTTTAATAAACTTCTCGTAAAATATAAACATCCTTTACAATAATAATAAAATTTAATTATATGATAATACTGCTTTAAATATGAATTCCAGCAAGCAATTATTTATGAAAGTAACCACACCCGGAAATCAATGAAAACTAAATGCAGTGTTATTTTGCAAAAGCAAAACACATACACATCCTATGAAAACATAATTTCCTATTTGTGTCTACATTTTGTGATTGTATTATATTTTTACATAATTAACAAACAATTAAATAACATTATCATAATATTATATAACAATATGAGTAAATAGTTTTTACCCACAGTTACAGTAGCATTGATTATATAAACTATATTGTACAATGCAATATTTTCACCTAACTCAATTAAAACACCGTCAACACGGTCAATTCAATGTAAGAATAATTATTGGAAATATTTCTATAATAATTTTAATAATAAAATTGTTCCCGTTGATTCACACACTGAATTATAATTCATAATTAATATCAAGTAAGTATTTAGAAATTGCTCATATAATCTATATTATTATATTAATTAATTTTAAATATATAACACAATTTCATTATAACGGGGTGTTGCGTGTGTTTGCGGACATAATACCAGGATACTTTCTATATAATTAAAACATATCCAGTTCAGTTTATCTAGTTAATTTAGCAATTAATTGCTGACTAAAAGTAGGCGTTTATAACATTTACAATAAAAATCAAGTATTCATAGACAGGGGGCGCGTAAAAGCTTTACAATACGTAACGTAATTCATGAACGACTCGCAGTAATGCAAACATAGGCCACGAAAACACACTGATTTCGGTCTACGATTACAGTTGTTGTGAACGAAACACATGTTTATTATTAACCACTCATTGAGTGAGCGATTGACACGTGAAGTGATTGACCACTGATTGTCTCATTAGTATCACCACCACTGCCACCACCATCCCCGCAGACAATATCCCCCCACACTATCACCCACTCGTGTGTGTCATCAGCCGTATTGTGTCCTCAAACACATACCACTCGTGTGTTATAATGAACTAATGGATCGCACCATTAGCTGATCCCATCACGTGATTCGCAGCACGTAAACACTGATACTTATTATCTCATTACCCATTCCTCCACCACCACAATGAGTATGTCGTCGATGCAGACCTCGAACTACCACTCGGACAGCGCCAACACGTTCAGCAACTCGGACGACATGTTCGCCACCGGGAGTAGTGGTGGCGGCGGCCACTCCGGAGGAGGAATGGCTAACTCGGGAGGACTGCACCACTCGTACAGCGAGTCCAACCTAATGGGCGGCTCGTCGGGCGGCCGCTCGTCATCACATATGTCATCCTCGCAGTCATTCCTCGGGAGCGGCCACTCGGCGAACGCCAAACACGAAGACCTCAAACAGATGCTGGAGTCGAGCAAAGACGGCCTTAAACTGGAGGCCATGAAACGGATCATCGGTATGATAGCGAAGGGCCGGTCGGGCGACACGCCTCGCGAGCTGTTCGCACACGTCGTCAAGAATGTGGTGACGAAGAACGCGGAGCTCAAGAAGTTGGTGTACCTCTACCTGACCCGATACGCGGAACAGGAGCAGGACTTGGCCCTACTGTCCATCGCCACGTTCCAGCGCTCGCTCAAGGATCCCAACCCACTGATCAGGGCGTCGGCGGTGCGGGTGTTGTCGTCCATACGGGTGGCCATCATAGCGCCCATTATGTTGATAGCCATCCGGGACTGTAGTAACGACATGAGTCCGTACGTACGCAAAACGGCCGCACACGCCATACCCAAGCTATACGCCCTCGACCCGGACCTCAAGCACGAGATCATCGACATCGTCGAGCGGCTACTCAACGACCGGACGGCGCTCGTGTTGGGCTCAGCGGTGGCCGCCTTTGAGGAGGTGTGCGGCGACCGGAACGACCTCATCCACCAGAACTACCGCAAGTTCTGCGCCCTACTGGTGGACGTGGATGAGTGGGGGCAGATCATACTAATCAATATGCTGATCCGATACGCCAGGACCCAGTTCCTGGACCCCAACCCCCCGGTGTCTATGGGGGAGGAGGCCCACCACCACTCGGGGGATCCCGTGGTGTTAGATCCCGATCACCGGTTGCTGTTACGGAGCGCCAAACCCCTGCTCCAGAGCCGCAACTCCGGTGTGGTGTTAGCCGTGATTCAGATGTACCTGTCGTTGGCGCCCAATAGCGAGCTGAACGCCGTTATCGTGAAGCCGTTGATCCGTTTACTCCATTCCCATCGCGAGATACAGCTCGTGGTGCTCAAGAATATCGTGACGCTAACCACGGCGCCGGTCGAGGAGCACAGGGATGATAGGGGAACGGGCGATGAGGAGCTCCGGAGGAATGATAAGGAGAATATGGATACCAATGCGGACAATGCGAACGCTACGGAGGACTCGAAGGACAAACAGTCGGCGCCGCCCGTGAAGGACAGTGAGGACGACAGCGAGGAGGAGGAGGACTTCCTTAAGTGGGACACCGGGAACGGTAGCGGCGGTGGCGGCACCTCCCGGGGCGCCAAGAAGTGCATTAAGTCGCTGTTCGAGCCGCACCTGAAGTCGTTTTTCATCAAATCGCGAGACTCGACCCAAACGAAGATTCTTAAGCTGGAAATCCTCACGAATTTGTCGAATTCGGCGAACATATCGCTGATCTTAAGGGAGTTCCAGGCCTACATCAACAACTATCAGGAGGACCTGGAGTTCATGGCCGCCACCATACAGGCCATCGGCCACATCGCCGCCCGCATCAAAGAGATAGCGCCGGTGTGTCTGAACGGCTTGATTACGTTGCTGTCCAACCGGAACGAGACGATTGTGGCGCACAGTATAGTCGTGATTAGGACGCAGATTATCAACAAAGACGAGCAGATTATCTCATCGGTGGTGAAGCAGATGGTGCGGCTCATGGATAAGATCCATACGCCGCAGGCCAGGGCTACCATACTGTGGATTTTGGCCGAGTTTTGTCCGGTCAATGAACGGGCGGCCAAATACGCGCCGGACGTACTCCGGAAGCTGGCGAAGACCTTCTGCTCGGAGGCCGACACCGTGAAGCTCCAGGCGCTCAATCTGGCGGCCAAGCTGTACGTCACGCAAGACACCAGCGATCGGATCAAACTTCTGGTGAACTTTTTGTTCAATTTAGCCAAATATGACTTGAATTACGACGTCAGGGATAGGGGACGCCTGTTGAGGCAGCTGCTGAATGAGCCCGAGTTGGCTAAACGCGTGCTATTGGTGCCCAAGAAGGTGCCCGACGTGGGCAAGGGGTCGGGCGCCAGTAGACGGTCGGACGGCGAGCACCAGTTCCGTATCGGAACGTTGTCTCACTTTCTGGACAAGAAAGCGGCCGATTATGAGGAACTGCCCGACTGGCCGCTCGAACAGCCCGACCCCAGCGTTAGGCAGCGTAAGGAGGCGTACGTCGAGGACCCGGTGCCCACCTTTGCGTTGGTGAACATCAAAGACAGTGGGAATCAGCGGACGATTAAGAAGTTAAGAGAGAAATCGTTTTACTCGGAGAGCGAAGACGACTCGGAGGAGGAGTCCTCTGAAGAGGGATCCACTGGTGATGAGGAGTCGGACGAAGAGGTGAGCGATGAGGACATGAGCGGCGAGGAGGAGGACGACGACGAGGAGGCCGAGGATGAGGAGAGCGATGAGGAGGAGTCCGACGAAGACATGGAGTCCGGTAGTGATGGCGATGAGGAGGAGGAGGAGAGCGACGAACCCGAGGCTCAGGTGATCCGCTCGAAGCCGACGCCATTGAAAGCGAGTAATAGTAGTAAAAAGTGTTGAGTTGTCTGGAAATGACCCCAAAATGAAGTGTTTTTTTAATTATTAATTCTTCAGATGTTTTAGATTTTTTGAGTCGTATTTTTTGATACAGAAATCTATTGTACGATAAACTCTGGCATATAGTGTACAGTATATTATAGTCACACAAGTGTTACGCGATTTGTTTTGTTCACTATATGTGTGATGTATGGCCAGTGGTTAGAGTTTACGATTTAATATAATGTGTATTATTTGTCGGATGATTTTGAATTAATTGATTTTTAATAATTATTTTTTATTTACTGAAAAACTACTGTTCCTTCCGATAGATTATTTATACGATTATTTGTGTCGACTGTTTAAAACAACTAATGTTTTGTGAATTTGGATTTTCTATTGATTTTCCCGAAAGTCTGTGTCTTTCGACTTAATTATGAATAAAATTATTATTTTTTCCATTAACTCAATGACTACTGTATTATATTCTGTGAACTAAATGGACTAACAATTGAGTACTAAATACTACTGAATACTTACGAATACTTATGGTCGACATCCCTGGCCTCTTGTCGCTCCCGGTGCTCCTCACTGGCGGAGATATGTTTACGATCTCTTAGATCTAATCCGAGGTTTCGGTTATTCTTTAAATGTTGTTCAAAATAATATCTCTTTTTGCGGCTATTATTAGTCCAGCGATTAAGTCATGAATTATAATACTTTTAATGAATGAATGAATACTTTTAATAAGACATTCAATGCATTGAGTGTTGAATTCATAGCCTTTTTGAATGCACTGAAATCGCATGTATTTTCTCCACCGAAGCCTTTCACACAAAACTTTTAAATCGCTTCACGAAAGGCCTGTTTTTCCAGAATACCTTCCCATCCTATAAACACATTGAGTACCATATATGAACAGGTACCAAAGCTTCGGCATATACTTTACCAAATATTTGTCGGTAAAACGTTTAATCATATATGTGTCAGTGAAAGTTGAAGGGAACTCTGTGCTTTTAATGTTTTAAAATTATTAGCATTGAATGCTTTATTTTTTATTGTATTGGTATCCCAATAAACCTTAATCAATATTAACACTGTATCATTCATTAAAAGTACAGAGTTCCCTTCAACTTTCACTGGCACATATTATAATTACCTGGATGTATTGAATAATTAATAATGTTCTGTATGATTACCACGGTAAATAAAATTTATTTTAAAACAAAATACTTTTATTGGATTTTAATAATTTGTAACAAAAAACCATTAATTATGATGTCATTCATTACAATGTGATAAATTATCACTCATAATACTGTAATAATGAAAAATAGCGTTTTTAAAATAAAAACAATATGTGCTTGCCACAAAAACTTTATTTTAATAATAGTATATTAATAATAGTTTTATAACAATGTTATAATAAATTAGTAATTAGGGTGTTAGGCATCCATGAACTTTTCGATCACCTTGATCACTGTCATTGCTATCGATTTGTATCTGAAACTTGCCACTTTACTACCCTGGCTAATATCGCACTTATCGGCGGCCTTTACAAATCGTGTTTCAGCCAGTTCTAGTACACTCCGGAGATATGACAGGTACTCGAATACAAATGTGCGTGTTTCTCCCTCGCTCAATATTTCGCTTTGTTGCTTCAGAAACTCTTTTAGTGCACTAAATTGGACGAGATTATTTTTAAACAAATATTTTAAATTAATAACTTTCTATATTTTAAATTAATGGAAATGTTATTTGTATGGGCACTTTTATATACCTGTATACATACTATAATTATTATAGTGTAATATTATATTATAATATAGTGACATTGTGCATGCACAATTATTTATGATTATTATGCTTTAGAATTACTACAACTAATCAATACTGTATAAAAATTATATATATATTTTAATATTAAAAACTAAATTATATAAATTATAATAATTATATCAATAAATTTTAATATTAGGTTACATTATTATATTATATATATAAATTTATTATTTATGAATTTAATAATTAGATAAACTGTGCTTATATTTTGTATATTTTATATTTAGTGTAAATCATAGTCAAGCATAAGGAGTATGTAGTGGTCGTTACTATAACTTATTAACTATGGGGTGTCACTCGCTGTACAACTTTGTTAAATTAAAATCAACATGGTTATATAGATTAAACATGTTAAACTAAGAATATCAGGGTCCGATATTCTATGTGAAGGTGGTATGTTCATAATCCAGTGGTCAAGTTTCAGATATTCGTATAACGCTCTATACAAACTCAATAGACATTTGATGTGAATTCATTCATTATATTTAAGACTCACTTTTATATTATGAGTAATGTAAAAAAGTGAATAATGCATATAAAAACTTTGATAATTATGCGATTATCGGAAACTTGACCACTGGATTATGACC